ACATAGTTGCTTAGAGTTGCAGCTGAGAGGCCGGCAAGTCAGGCGGGGAACGTTGGAGTCCGCCGTCACTGGAGCAAGCAAGCCTCCCTGTTCGCTTCAAGCTGCCTGGCTGCCGGTTGCCATCTTGGCTGCCAGTTAATTTGCATATCTCCCTGATTAGCCAATGGGAAGGGTAGCGGCTGTATGGCTAATTACCATGTTTCTCTTTTATTAGATAGGATGTACAAATACAGATGCAGTCTTTTAAAAACACAAATAGGATCATGCTAGTTATTTCCATTTCTCATTTAAAGTGGTTTGGTTAAGATCCTTATGCACAATGGCAAGTGTTTTGTGGATAGATAGATTATTTACTAAGTTAACTGATTATTTCTTATATACTGGTGGTTCACATGGAACCTTTTATTTAATCCTCACAACCCGTTGAGTAGGTGTTTCCATTTGGTAAACAAGGAAACTGAAAGAGTATAGAACTAGCAAGTAATAAAGCTGGAATTTGGACCCAAGTAATTTCACTCATATGTTCTTATGTACTGCTCTACACTGCTCATGTGTCAGTACTTTTGTAGGAGTAGTTTTTGGTAGTGGAATTAGTGACAGATGCTACCAGATCCTAGCCTCTAAAACAGTGGTTCTCAACCTTCCTAATGTCGGGACCCTTTAATACAGTTCCTCATGTTGTGGTGACCCCCAATTTCATTGTTACAAATTGAACATAATTAAAGCATAGTGATTAATCACAAAAACAATATGTAATTATATATGTGTTTTCCGATGGTCTTAGGCGACCCCTATGAAAGGGTCGTTCGACCCCCAAAGGGGTCGCGACCCACAGGTTGAGAACCGCTGCTTTAAAAGCTTTTGCCAAACGACAGTCCCAACTGCAGAGTCTGAGAGTACCTGTTTCCCCATGCCTTGGGCAAGTCGAGATACTAAAAATATTTTGCCAAAATATTTCTTCCTACCCTATCTGGTTTGGCTCAGTGGATAGCGTGTCGGCCTGGGGACTGAAGGGTCCTGGGTTGTGGGCTTAGTCTCCAGTAGGGGGCTTGCAGGAGGCAGCCGATCAATGATTCTCATCATTGATGTTTCTATCTCTCCTCCCTTCCTCTCTGAAATCAATAAAAATATATTTTAAAAAATTTCCCATTCTGGTCTGAATACTTGCTTTCTGGGTTTAATGCACAGGTTTTATATCAAGATTTATTTCTTCACTCCTGGGTGGGATCTACTTTTTCCTAGCATCCATATCTTTCTGTTCCCTTGATTAACTTTCTCATGTCCTAAGAAAAAGTTTTCAAGGGTGAGCCCTTGCATGTCTAAAGTGGTTTTGTTTTGCAACTTATATTTGATCAACTTGTTGGCTATAGAATTCTAGGTTGAAAAATAATTTTCTATCACATCTTTGACAGTAACTCAGTGATCTTCTGACATCTGATATTAATGAGAAGTCTGATACCAGTTTGATTTTATTCCTTTCTATATAGGCTGTTCTCTGCAATCCTGCCTCCTCTCCACCTCCCATTCTGCCACACACTCGTATACACTATGGACACTTTTAGGTCCTTATATTCTTGGTGTATAAAATGCTAAAATTTCATTTGTAACTAGATAACCAGTTATTCTCCTTGGTGTTTTCTTATTTTTTAATTTATTATTTATTAA